AAGGGGAGGAACCTCAGTTCCTGGAGTCCTAGGAAACAGACTTGCAGAATGTGCCCTTTGGGGTTTTAAATTGTTAAGGAAAAAAAAAAAAAAAAAAGCTGAAATGAATAGAGAGAAATACTGTTAACTGATGGTACATGGAGGGGATTATAATCATTGTAATGAAACAAGGTGTATGATTTGTTGAATGTAAAACCAATGATCTGCCCTGTAAACTTTCATTTAATTCACAATAACAAAAACTTAAGAAAAGAAAAAAAAGAACAGATTTTGTGTATGGTTTAGCATGTTCTGTTGTAATTAGTTGTATATGTGACTGTTTCCCCTGAAGGGCTGTCTTTGTGAGGAGAAAGCATCTCTAAACGTATCTTTATTTCCCAAGCATTTACTGCAATACCCAGCATGTAGCAAGTGTTCAATAAATACTTGTTCAAGTCAAAACTCTGCCATTTTCACACAGTAATGGAAGCTGCTTCTAGTTTATGTCAGATTTGTTTTTTTTAACCATCAAAAAAAATATAGTAATTATTAGAATAACTAAGAACCAGCGACTATTATTGACCCTCTGTTCAGGGCTGCAATAGATGGATCCTGACAAAATGGGAGAAAAATGAGGAACAGATCTAAAATTCTTGAAAACAAATACAGACTTACTGGACCAGATGAGTTTAGAGGATTCTCCAAGGCTATAGCTCTGAGACACTCTTTAAATCTAGAACCAAAACTAACTCCTGAGGTGACCTTTTAGCTAAATAACAGGTTGTCTCACAAAATAAAGAATGTTGTTGTTGTTGTCAGGTGCCATCGAGTCGGAACCGACTCATAGCGACCTCATGCACAGCAGAATGAAACAATGTCCGATCCTGGGCCAACCTCACTACCGCTGCCACACTTGAGTCCATCAATGATGCCACCTGGCTGACCCATCTCATTAGGGGTCTTCCTCTTTTTCTCTGACCCTCCACCTTACCCAGCATGACATCCTTCTCCAGCGACTGTTTCCTCCGGACAACATGTCCAAAATATGAGAGATGAAGCTTAGCCATCCTGGCCTCCAAGGAGCACTCTGGCTGCACTTCTTCCAAAACAGATCTATTGGTTCTTTTGGCAGTCCATGGCACTTTCAGTGTTCTCCTCCAACACCACAACTCAAAGGCATAAA